AATTTAAATTAAAACTCAAACGGTTCTAGAATCCCAAGTTACAAATATAAATAAAAACTACAAAATAAAAAAAAGTTTTCTTCTCTAGCAAGCGCAAACAACATCGGAAAAATTGTATTTAAATAGCTAAAAAGGTAAAGTAAAATAAAAATATCACCTCATGATGGAAAAGCTTCTCTTATATTGCGATGCAGTTTTAAAACAACAATTCCAATACATACCTTTAAAATGTGATTTGAAATATGATGAAATACGATCCTAACGTACGCAACTTCAGCATTTATACGAACGCACTTTCCGCTAAAATTTTGCGCAATCATACTCGCGCATTTAAAAGCTGGTGAAACAAATATTTGCAGAACATTTGTACTGCTCTGGGAAAAATATTTGTCACAAGAAGATGTAATTAAAGCGATGTAAATTCATGTGCACCGTCGTTCATATTACGCGACAAAAATAACGAAAACAATTTATCCTTCATGCGAACAGTCTCTCGGCTAGCATATATTACAAGGATAATTCATTATCAAGTCTGTGTGATCTGTGATACTTGTATTTCGAGACAATGACATGCACTAAACGCATGATGCAAAGAGATGAATAGTAACATAAAAGAAATATATAACAACAGTGATGTGATATATGACATCAATTTATAATTTAATATTATGTATCCCTGAATTAATACTCCATGATCAATGCAAAACAGGGTTCTTTTAATTTTTAAAAGAAATAAGCACGAGAAGACATATTTAACGAGCTTGCAATAAACATAACAATTATGAGCAATTATGTATCGGACTGTTAAAAAGATTCAAAATTAGATTGCGTTTATGAGCGTTCATATCATGATGTAAATCAGATGAAACAATTTATGGATGAGAGTATGCAAGTCCGGAATCCGCGATACGCTATCATCGAGATAATTCAGTATCGGATTTGCGATAGCGATGTACCGTTTGCAACATACACTTACACACACACACACACACAAATAGTCGTACTATAAGGGTGACAGTTAATCGTGGGATCAGTCGCATAGAGAGATTTGCACTTCGCATCAGTCTATGCGCAGCTGAGGCAGTTGAAAACTAATTGCTGTACCTATAGTAGTACAGTTGTATATTTCTCAAATAAAAATTGATCGGTTATTAATTTTCGTTTGCAATTGACTTCCAATTAATTATTTAAGTGAGTTAAAATAATTATTTAATTGTGTTAAAAATTAAAGTATAAAGTTTCTTTAGATACATTCCAATGATGATCTATTTGAGATATTTTGATGAGATATTCAAAAGATTGTCAAATTATATAATATCAGTTATACGAATTAATATTATACCTTTTCCTTAATAAACAAATTATCTAACATTATATATATATATTTAATAACATAGTGATACTTGTAAATCCTTTTTTATACTTCAAACAGCAAGATAAAGCAATTAAAGTTTAAATAGGTATCTAATCGTCGGTAAAAGATAAGATATCATCTTGTCATTTAATTTCGGACTTGTCAAATTTTGTGAATGCGTCGCATGGGGCCAATGAGCGCGAGACCTTTAATTATAATAGACAGAGACAAGATTCGATTAATACGCTTCGGGATGCACCTTGGATCATACCAATTACTTCATGTTCGATTATGTGACATAGTTCGACAACGTTGTAGACAATTGAACGTGATTGAACAAATTTGTGCTATTGTTGCAGACGTGTTCATGAATTTAATACAATTTGATTTCTGCTTTGTAGTAATTTGCGAACTAAATAATTTAAAAGAAAATCGGAAAGCAAAGTATTTGCATACCAGCAATAATTTTCCTCTTGAGTTAGAATTAACGTACTTTCAGTAAACATTCCAAACAAATTCTTTACTTTTTCATCATTATAGCTGCAAATTTACGCAGTACATTGATTGGTTCAATTTAAAACTAAAAAAAATCTTTTGTAGAATTTTATAAATTTTGCGATATGTTTAAAGTTTTATTTCCAATTTTATGTCAGCATAATAAGCAGCTATTTGCTAATTAGTGTCGTAACAACAAAACACTTTTGTAACATTTTAATCAAGTCTACACCGCTCAAATGGCTTACGGTTTATGAATAATGAATGACAAGCCACTGCTATTGCTTTTTAATTAGCGAATGATCTCTACAAATTGGAGGGTAACATTACAGAGCCAAACTTTTTTATTTATTTTATAAATAAATAAAGGATAATATGACATAGTCAAACTTTTTTATTTATTTTATAAGTAGGATTAATCGTCACAAAGCGCAAAGTGAAATTGATGGTCGAAGTGTAAAGAGAAAATTGCAAATGACCAACGATTTTCAGTTCCAGTGAAATGTTGAATTTAATTCTGTATGCACGCGCCGCGGACTAATTCGGTTGCAATGCAAAACAGCTGTTACTCTATGGCTACGTAATGCTTGCCGTCGGGTTCGCTTTTCGTAGAACCAACGCGAAATTCCGGAAATTTTCACGGAGTTGCCGCCGGCGAACTTTGATACATACTTCCGGGAGCGCAGAAACCACCAAAGGATGTAATCCACTAACCATGTGCATATTCGTCACTGATCGCGATACTGCCGTCATTTTACATTATGAGTGATATTTCAGTAGCGCGTGAAATATTGTTTTGATAATTATATAAGTAATACAGTATTGAGCGCCGATTTGTAATTAATTCACATAAAATCTTTATTATTCAAGCTAATAGAATGATACAAGCAATCGACTAAATTAAATTAAAATAATTATTTTTCTACATTTTATTTATTTATTTGGTTATTTGAATTACAATCTTTTAACATTTTTTTTACATAAAATATTTCTATAAAAATAGGAGTATCCAGAGTAAAAGAGAAAGATAGGCCATCTATATTCTAAGCTAATATTATAGAATAATATAAGCGATCGAATAAATTAAATTAAAATAATAATTTTTCTAATATCAAAATTAATTTAATTTAAATAGAATAATGATAAATAATCTCTCATAATTTATTTAAGAAAAAATAAATTCTGAGATTATTTATCATAATTACATAATTATATAATTTGCAGAATTAAAAATTCTTTAACCCTTATACATTTTTACCAAATAAAATGGGACGAACATATTATACCATATTTCGTAAATTATGTTGGCTCAAGATTAGAATTATGTTATAGATAACTTGCATCCTTCAGTTTAAAATGCCTTTAGTTCTATATAAAGAGTTTGAATTTAGGTATAATAGGGCTGCGCGTGATACTGAGTGAGAAATAATATCCTTTTATTGCGTCGCGTTATATTAAACCAAATTTTATAAGTGATCTTTCAAATGCGGCTGAACTTTGGAACAATTTATCGAATGACTCACAAAATAAGATCTCACTGCTATTAAAAATAAATTACATAGCTTTCTGCTGGAAATTAATGCATAATTAGCTTGTTATCTGTTTTCTTAATAGTTTTTTTGATTGCAACATTTAGTCTTAAATCGCTTTAATTATATCTCTCTTTTTTAATTGTGAAAATTTCCTACGTCTAACAATATATATAATTATATTTTTATTGTATTTGAGAGGATGTCTTCCTAAAGCGCCTAATAAATTAAGCTATCTATCTTTTTGATATGGCATACCTGGCTTTCTTTTTCCATCACTTTTTTTATTGTTTATCTTATTTTATTATGAGTAAAGATACCTACATTTGCTTGATACCGTTACACTTCTTAATTTTTGATTGAAAAAAATATTTACCATATGTTTTTTATGCAAGTAATTGAATTGGATATGTCATACCCAAATGTGTCGTTCCTATAGTGTAGTGTTTAAGGGATAAATCATACAAATCTTGTAACGTTTTGCATGAAATATTTCCGTAAAAATAGAAGAAGGAATATTGTCCATATTCATAGTCAGGCATCCTTGCATTTAAGACTTCTTTAAATTTATCTTCAGTTTTACTATTTTATTGGTTACTGAGCATCTAAAGATAAATTTAAGGGAGTCCTAAATACAATATAAGGCCTGACTATGAATATGGGCATATATATGTCAGAATAAAATCACATTGCGTTAATAGTTGAATAATAAAGTGTGAATAATAAATCGTTTAAATAAAGTACAGCATTCAAATAAAAATGGAAACTCAAATAGTGGAAGTTCTACTGTAATCGATACTTTGTTTGTACGAAATAGTTTCTAAACTGTACACTATGCAAAAAATAACAATTGTAAAAAGATCGGTTGTTATAACTGTTGCACAGTTAAAATCTCGTATATGCCTTTCCAAAGCGCCAATTCGTATAAAAGTTGACAACAAATTCAGTTGTAAGCCGCGCGGAGAAAGATTTTTATCGGCGTTATTAAACTACGCATCGCAAAATTTATTTGCACGTAAAATGAATCGTTATTCAATGTAATTCATCAAATTGACTGTCCATAAAACAGCGAAGTGAACTCGCGCTCGTTTCGTTTTGTATTCACGCATGACTCTTGGGACGCGGTTACATCGACATCGTACTCGAGCGTGTTTTTGATTGCTTGTCTCACTGCTCGACTGTGTTAACCATCTGTTTTTTAAACAAAAAAACTGACATGCTCTCCCAAAAGCTTAATAAATTTCTTTCGGAATCAGAAATATTATTAAAAAAAAAAGTAGTACTGATAGTCAAATAATATTCTCATAATGTCCTACAGAATTCGCAATAAATAATTTAACAGCTTGTCTTATTTATTTTTATTGTGATGATTGTTTCTAATAAACAATTGTAGTTACAACACTTGTCACATTGTGTCTATAATCTGAAATATTGTATATATATATATATTTAGACTTTAAATCTGCCAGTTATTTAAGCGCAATATTTACAGCGCCATTCCTAATTTTATTACCCTAATTTTATTTATCTGTTTATTTATTATTAATCTAAGGAATCTAATCTTTGAATTCTATTTGTATTTATAAAACCGCTTTATAAGATATCTAGGAAAATAGACTTACCCTTCATGCCGAGTGATGATCGCAGCTTCCCTCGATGCTCGTTTTATGATTTATTCTTCGTTATACGAGCACCAATATTGACGTGTCCGAGAAGGAATTTCGCGACGCACAGAGTTCTATTTTTGACATGAAAGATGCGTAAGAGAGAAGATGAATGACGCAAAGACGACACGAGTTTCACGAACGTACAGCACTTCCTGAAAAAACAACATGGATTATGATTAAAAAATGGCAACAAAATAAATAGAACGATGAATGTTAAAATCGCAAAATTCAAACTCAAGTTCAAGAGCACTGATATGAAACAATAGGAATGGTACATTTAAGTTATGGTTAACTGAAATATTCGAATGACAATGTGCGTATTGTGTAAAATATACAAATCCATACATTTTATTTACTTTAATGAGAGGCATTTTTGTTAATAAACGTTATTACAATCAAATTGTTATACTGCTTCGATCTAAATAGTATTTAAATCTTGCACTAATTATTTAAATAAAAATATCGGAAAATTCAAAATTATTAGCGCACGTCTTTAATTCAATACAATTTAATTACAGTTTAATTACCCATCGCGTGCACTTTATCTATTCTATAATAGAGTATAGGGAGTAATAATTCTCTAAGATTATTTTCAAAATGTACTTCCATTTGCTTCTCTCTTTGTTTATCGTCGGTATCGTTTACAGCGTTTGATATCAAGGGAGTTATTAGAATTATAAACTTTCCAGGTGTCAAGTCGAGATCGTATTGATATATGTAAGGTGAAATTGCGAGAGAGCGTGATCTCGTGTGATATATGCGTGTCGTATCATAACGTGGAAATCGGGGTTAAAGCAATACGATAAGCAGTACTTCAGAAATAGCGGACTTTGTAGCGTTTAATGATCGCGAATAAAACGAACGTGCGCGTATATGTGCACGTAATAAAATAAAATATTTTAAAAAATCGCACGACATCATTATATAGTTCCATACATGCAGAAAAGAGGAATAGATACCAAGACAAAAGCCAACTTTCAACTTTGCTCGTTTTAACGAGGCAATCAATACATTTTGTGAGGTATGTTTGACACAATGTGTTGAAAAGATAAAGAACAAACGTTTTTTTATTCGTTCTCTATTCCTCTCAGCGATATGTGAGAAGAGGAAAAAAATATTTTATTCGCAACTAAAAATTTAGAAAAGCCAATATTGGAAAATTATATTAAAATTATACAAAAAATTAAAAAGTCCCTTATTCAAATATTTGCGTCATCTAAGTAATATCTGTTATTTTAATATTCTTTTCTTTAGCCGTTATCTTATAAAGTAGTCTGAATACAAAGATAATCCTCTAATTATATTAAACATTATAATGCTTACACAGAGCTAGGCACTTGAAATATTTTTATTTAAAACACAGAATTTGTTATGCAAAAGTATCTTGTATTTTAGCAAAACATATGAAAGTATATGTGTTACGTATTTTGTATTTAAAATCGAAAGATTAAAAGTTTTTTGTATTTCGTAATTCAAGCAATAAGATTAATTGTCAATCTTAGCATTTGAAATACAAAATATAATACACAAATACTTTTTTAAAAATAAAAGTATTTCAAATATGTTCAGTTCTGAATATTTGTTATGAAGTAGTTAGCTTCTGTTCTTCGGGCTGTACAAATAACATGTCATCGCGAAGCATCATGGATTTGATTTCGTCTGATCACGAACTTCAGTCAGAAAATTTATTTCATTTTCAGCGGCAGAGAGACTCGTAAAAATTTTATTCTTTTGTCCACGGAGAGAAAAATTTTCCCCGTGAGAGTCGGCAACGTCTGCCACTGATAAGTAGGCAGTGGAAGAGAACTCCATCGAGATTCTCCCCTTGTTTTCCTTTTTCGGCGATGCTTCGCAAAATTTACGAGGATTACGTCGAGTCATTTTCGAGTTTCCCGCTGGGACGTAAAGCCGCCTCGTAAATTGGGATACTGTCCTCGAATTTCGGTCCCGAAAGGCGATGGAGGTAAAGACGTGGCCGAGAAGGCTTTATAGAATGACGTTATCGAATTTAACGCAACCCATCCCTTTATAAGGCAGGAGAACAGAGAAATACCTATAACACAACACGATAACGATAACCGCAAATTTTGTTTAACGTTCATTCGCGTAGCTACGTGTGCATGAATATGTTCATCGGCGGTGCAAAGTGTACTGCAGCTTATATATACATACATGTAAAACAAGATGCGCAAACTTTTTCCGAGTTTACGTTGCGAACGTCGGCACGTTTCGCGTCGAGGGTGCGGCTTGTTACAAAAATCGCAGACAGGAAGTTTGATCGCGTCGTTCATGCTGTCGTGGCGTATTTACGCGTTCGTCGAAAAAATTTTGTCGCAAGGGGGTGCATTGGCGAAGGGTGCGCCCGCGAAAACTGCGAGGTAAGCTGGATTCCGGAGTCAAGCGGCAAAAAAACGAGATAGAAGCTGCCCGATACGCGATATTCGACTACCGGGATATCGCGCATACGCCCGGATAAGAGCCAAGTGAGAAGAGATGAACAAGAAAAAAAAAGAATATAGGGATCGAAAAGAGAGAAGAGAATAGGAGACCGTGAGATCGAGATATTCATAAACTCGGCATGAAACGGCGATGGACACGTCAGAGTGCCGGTCAGGACAAGGGAAAGTCGAACAACGATGAAAATTCACGGAGAACGGACTGGCAAATTTATAGAACATGGCGGCCTCTCCCAAAGTTGGAGATTTATCGGACTGATAGTTACAAGAGCGAAATGGCGCGCCGCGCGCGCACGCTCGAAAACTTTTGCCCCTCCGTAAAAATATTTTCACTCGAGAGACGGAATGGAGCCCGAGCAAAACGAGCCACGGAGAAGAAAAAAGAAGATCCCGGGGAAGACAGAGACATCGATGCCTGCGGTCAAGACATCGAAAAGTCGACAGACGAGAGTTTGCCGAGGTGAGATATATGGATTATCGCTCGAGCGTTCGAGATTTATCGGACAAACCTCCCGAACGCTGAGTTGTTGAGGGGAGGTTTCCGTCAAAACCGAAACTGCACGCTCGATGAAAACACGTTTCGATGTGAAAGGAGTTGGAAAAAAAAAACGAGCTGCCACGTCTGATGTAAGCACAATTTTGAAAAGGAAAAGTCGTAATAGCGTAGCAAGCCGCGACAATGTGATTGTAAAGAGATCGAGCCTCAGTGTGAATCAGGAAAAAGTCGAAGGGATTTATGCGAACGCGGTAGTAAAGGAGTTACGAAGTAAAAACGTCAAAGTTCCAGATTTATCGGATCCGGATGAAAGAAATGTCCACAAACGATCTCTATCCCGTATCGACGTTTTTCGCGTAGAAACAGTATTTTTAAACGATGGAAAAAAGGGAGCTGAAATTCGAAGGATTCGAACAAATCCGCGTCATGCCATTGTCTTTATCACGATGTGACAGAGAGGAAAAAATAAAACTTTGTACGTTATCCTTTGTAAGATTTACAGAGGTGATTGCGAAGAAATTGGTGAATTTGCCCAAAGCTCACGATTTATAGAGATGTAGAAATAAAAGAATCAACATCCCAAGGATCGATTCTCAAAAATTCAGTAATGTCTTTGATCTTTGTTTAGAAACTTCAAAGTTCATGATATTTAAATGAAAGAAAAGAATTCAAGACAAATACTTCTACACAAGAATCAAAACTTCTAATCATACTATTTTTATAGAAAACATTTCCTGTCACGGTAATATAAATGAAAAAGGTAAAAAAGGTCAATTCTATGAATAGAAATCTTTCTTTCTTGCAGATTGTGAGATCCAATTTGTTAGATATCTTGAATATTCCTGAAATGTCAGGTTAATAAATGAATATATTTAATCAGTGCTTGTAATTAATTTATTTAATATTCATTTGAAAAAAATTCAAAAAAATCATCTGTTTGTTACTTTTATATGCGAAATGGAGTAAGGAGATGATATCTTTGAGACGTATCTTTGCGCGAAAAGATTCTTAGAAACGGCAGAGGAGAAATCTTACGACGAAAGTGCGAAAGTTCGAGACTTATCGAACCGACAGTAAAAGGATCAACGTAGCTGATCTCAGAAAAGTATTTCACAGCATACAATAACTTCTCCTGCTCTTCTTACTTCCATGAATATTTTCAAATGAAAGTACAAGGCAAAAGAAAGAGAAAGAGAAGAAAAAAAACAAAACTGTAAGATACAGAACAAGTAATAAAATTTTGAATAAAAAGCTAGTTGAAACAGATGGACAAACATATTGCGGATAAAAATTTTTATATATGAAGCAAACAGTTTTTGCACTATAATGAATATAATATACAAAAGCAATATTAAATGTACATATAACACATATATATATCGAAGATCTGAAATAATATTTATAATATTTTGATGTAACACTTTATAGTCGCATATTTTGCATTAAATATATAATAAAAACATCCTGCAGAGGTACATTTTAATCTGATGTTGTTATTTGAGCACACTTTTGAGCAATAAAAATATAAAAAAATAATATGAATAATAATATAAATGTAAATATAAAAGAGTATACAAACATAAATTATTTATCAATGCACGTATATTTTACTTTGTAGAAGATTTTTTCACATGCGTTTATAAAATGCAATATTGTCATTTCCGTTTTTAATTGTAGAATTTATCAAGCTTGATGTATAAAATAATATATTATCAAAAAATAAAGAAATAAATATAGACAAATAAATTTTTAATATCAATTACAAGTTTAACATGAATATTACAAGTTTAACATGAATAAATCAATCTTACTACCTACAGCATTGCGGATGGCTACACTTTCCCACAACAATAACGACAAAAACGAGCAACGGAAAAGCGGAAGAAATGAAGGAGAAAGGCTTGATGGAAGAGAACGCGAGAATGTGTGCGAAAGAATAGTTGAGCAACAACACAGCACAAGAGAGTGCAAAAGCGGATCTATTCGGAAGAGGGAGTAAAAGGGATCGACGCGGGATCGCAGATTGTGGGAATTTCCGGTTCCCTTGCATCCGCGGTACTTATCGCACAGCAAAATCAGCGATACACAGTAGCGTGAAACCAACGTTCCGCCGAACGTCGCACAAATTTCCGAGATTTTCTGCCGAGCAATCGAACACGCTGAAAAGTCGTGCGGCAGATTTCTCCACCCCGGATTTATGGATGAGGCTGACTCACAGATAAAGTGTTTCCCGAAGACGGTCTAATAAAATAATATACGAATCTATTTTGTAGTATAATAGAAATTCTTAATGTGATCAATTAATTAGTTAAGTTAATTATAAGTTAATTATATAATTAATTGCATATCAAAAGTACAGAAATTCCGTTTAAAATATAAAAAGTCTAAAGATACAAAAATTATGCATATACAAAATACAAATATACTAAATACATGTGATAAAAAAGATAAGAATTCATTTATTTTTCTTATATCTTACAATTAATTACATATTTACAGCAATAACATTTTTCCTATTTCATCTCGTTCAATAAAGATGATTTTCCTTAGATTTTATCCAGATACAATGCCTCCGAGCGGAAAGACAAGAGAAAAGTAAGAATTTATACGCCCTCGTACATTGGATCCTCGAACAAATATATTCACTAGCATGAACTGAGAACCTACGACATTGTCTTCACAGAAAATACTTTTGCGAGGTAACCTTCCTTTGCATTTCCACAAATAGTTATATTATTGACTATAAATCTAAGTTAATAGCATCCTTAATCCTAAATAATAAGAACATATAATTCTTAAAAGACGGAATAATTACCTTCAATAATTCTCGATGACTCACAGGATGTCCCACAGTAAAATTAATCGATGGTGTCGCACTTAAAATTTTGCTGCTAATATCGAGTATCACTTAAACTCACAGGATCAACGCAAGCACGTCAAACTGTTTGAAAAATCGGCAGTGTTTGTTTAAAATAAATATCCTCACAAATTTCTCTGAGCTCGCGACTTTTAAAGACGCGGGAAACGCACTGAAACCCTTAAGGATCTCCTAATAATTTCACAGATCATCTTATAGTTTTATCGCAGGATGTTCTCAAAAATCGAATTCCCTTTCGCAGGACTATTATCTCGGGGTGAAGTTATCTTTTATCACCATGCATTATACTTTTACTGTCTATTATCGGGATATCGGGGGTCGCCCTCGAGACGTGCCAACGTCCGCGCACCTTTTTAATTCTTGCTATCGATATTTTATTCCAGTCACGCTCACACCATTCGACCTCCTAGTTCTCCCCCGCGTGATGACATATAATTGCTATATGTGGAAAGTAATGGGGATGTATTAAAATGGCCGCCCTTAATAACCATCGATTTCAATAACAATCGCAGACCATGTCGACAGCAAATATATTAAAGATAGCTCAGAACGCAACGCTCGTCCTCGCTGATAGTGATTATATTTCCAATATATCCCGACGCAAGCATATGGAAAATAAAAGTATTCCGTAAAAATTTCACAGCAAATATGTTTGACGGAACACACGAGATATATAATACAATAATAGTTAAAGTTCGATTAAAAGTGATTATATGAAAACTTCAAAGTATTCGCCAATTAAAACAATTATCTTCATACAATCTTTATTTATTATCTATATTAAATACGAATTTAAATACGTTTCTAATATATCTTTAATTATCAAAAGGCAAAAGAGCTTCTACAATTTTTAATTTGTTAATCTATTAATAACTGTTATTTGCGCTTATTTAATAAATATACATTTGAAATTAACATTTGTTATTCATGTATTTGATTCAATACTGATATATCGATAGAAATTAAAATATTATGTTTTACGAAGCGCTACATGAGCGAATGTTTATTTATCTATGCGATATAAACATAGCACGTTAAAATGTCATATGTATTCTTAATTATTAAAATTAATAATTAATCAGACATAATAAAAAGATGGTAAAAAATGGTAATAATACGATATGTCAAAATACAGAATTAATGAGAAGTAGAATATTTACATTATATTCCGAGTACCGTTCGCAAAATTGTCAATAATGAAAAATAAAAATTGTAAAAAAAATTTGTAAAAGCACAATTCGAAAAAAATTCAGAGGTAAGTATTATAATGTAGGTTACATATACGAACGATGTATCTATTATTTCGAAAGGTGGACGAGAATCACACGATTGTTTTCAGCGATGGGCAGCAAAGTGTCCTCAAAAGAATCTTAAAGTTCAAAGAGAAACTCTTATCGAAGAATTCACAAGGATCCCTCTTTGATCGACGGCAGACAAGTGGTTTGATATAGCTGAAAGAAATCCCAAGTTCAATGGAACCTCTAAGAATTGAGAATCCCATCCTCAATCAGATCGATATGTTATTACATGTATTATTACATATACTTTATCGAGATGCACGATACGTAAAGTTGACCAATCATTTATGGAACGTAATGCACATGACATTTCCCATATGAGGAAATTATTTTTTTAATTAAAAGATATAAATAAAAATTAAATTTTTGCTTCTGTCACCAGCCATTTATACGTCATATACGATTTAATTTTTATTTCTATTTTTGGTCTTAAATTAATTTGTATTTTGCGCTTCGACTTTGCTTTTCAAATATTTATTATACGATCACTTATCAAAACATTTATACAAGCTTATACGAGCTTATGATGTGTAAATGTACGTGAATATTTGCAATATATTGAATTCTGATTTGTGAACTTGTTAAGCTCAAATAACTGCAAAGATAAGTCATTCTTACGGGAAAATTAAGAAAGAGATGGATAACTCTCTCTAATTATATATACATGACAGTATAATCTTTCCAAATAAAAAGGGAATAAATATTAGACACTTTGACTTTCTGGCTTTTATGCATGTGACTACAATGGACCCTTTCTTTTGGAAATTCCGCAAATTTAAGCGCGAATACGTTAATACGAACATCGAGCAAAACGATTATAGCTTCCCGCATATACTTCCTATTAATATCACCTTTATACCATACGATGAATAGAACGCGTCCCGAGTATGTCATATGAGCTTTCGAAATCGCGAAAAACGTTTGACGAGTATTCAAATCTTATCTCATAGTTAACAGCCATGTCGCTTTGTCGGTTCCAACTATTAATGATTTCATGCCATTAATGATTTCGTGTTCCTCAACGTATCGCGTTTTATCATACAATAGCATACCGCTTCTATTATAAACCCCGACTCATACCGTACGTGAGCCCGAAGAAATCCTCGCTATTACGGTCCACTTTTAGATAATATCCTGGAAGAATGTGCAGCTCGAAGTACGGATCGAAGGATCCGCACTCACTGTAGAATAAACGGAGACTTTACGCTGAGAGATGAGCTCGATTCGAGATCTAAGTTGGCACGTATCCTATTTTCCCGGGGCATGTCTTCAGAAATTATTCTCTAAAACGAATACGGAAACGTTCCGGACTTCCCCGTCAGAAACACATACAGCCATGACCCTAAAAGAAGGGTATAACGGTGGCTTTGAAATAACCGTCAGATCTTTTAGGGCGCGATGTCGTTCTCGAGAGCGAGGTCCTTCGGGGAAAGAGAAGCACGGTTCACCGGTTACGACTGCATTTTTCAGGAAATTAAAGCGTAAGGAGACAGCCTGTATCGTCGTGTTACCGTGATATACTACATCGCGGCACATCTTATAAACTCCGACAGGCAAACCGACAGAACAACTTGAATTTTTCAAAGACGCTTCGTAAGAGTGTTATTTGGGCTGCGTTCCAAAATTCATTGTCAGCTGAAAATCTATAGTGCCAGATAACGTAAATTCATTGCGCTGGCAATAAATTGGGAACACAACTTTAAAAAAATGATATTCATAACGATAAGTCATATTATATTTAAATTATAGCGCACACAGATACGCAGTGGTTTTGTATATCACACTTCAAACAGTGTCTGTGAAAGTGGAATAAATACAAACATAAAAGTCCTGGCGAAAATAAAAATTGGAATGTAAATCGATATAAGAGAAGAGTGACAGAAGCGTAAACGAAACTTTTAGGAGGCGAAAATTGAGACAACGAAATGCAAAGGAAACGTAAACGTCTCTTTTACATTACATATTGTCTCAATTTTCGCCTCTTAAAAGTTTCGTTTGCGCTTCTGTTACTCTTCCCTTCACATTCGCTTTACGTTCCGATTTTTATTTTCGCCAGGGGAAAAGTGAGAAACTTCAGCAATTTTAAAAACAAAATGTGAAAACGCTGTTTCACAAAAGTATCCGTGCAATAATTGTTACGGACAACGATCGGAAAATTACTTCGCAAGTTAAAAGTACTTAGCGTCGTCGAACAATTTATTTTCCAGCTGTAAAATTATAAGTTTTTTAATTTCACGAAACGCGCGAGTCGTTATCAGCAATGGAAAATGATTCGCTGAGAATTGGGAAACGTTTTTAACGAACGAGGTAGGTAATCAATTATCGTGTAAGGGCGACTTCCCGAAATCTCGAAATATGTCACTGCCATACACATACATTATTATGGTGGTTAATGTAGCGCGCTAACCGGCAAGGTAAAAAGATCCCGAAACTTGCGCTGTGAAGGTCAACGGTGGTGCGGGCACACTTGACCTGGTTGCGACGAGCGTAGCGCCGAACAGACAGACGTCAGAGAGAGCAAAATAGCAACGCAAACACTCAAATTCGCCGTCGTAGACACGTCACTTCTAATTCAGTCGACAGCTTCGTACGATTGTCGCACTACTGCTGGCAAATCACTCAAAAGAGATTGCAAAAGGGAACTGCGTTGAATACGATCATTATCTTAAGTAGGGCGATCATTTCAACGATCTGTCCGCGTATTACAATCTAACGACGATCGACGAACAAGTAGGAAAATATTCGTATCAAGAGCTGTCATTTCAAACGAACCTTTTATGAGAAGCAAACTATCAGATATGTCGATAAAAAGTTCGCTTCTGACAGCGGACAATCATTTAAAAACTCGCGCTAATTAGATTCCATCCGTACGTTTTATTCAGAACTTCATCCTTCCACTGCAAATCTATCCGATTATCGATAAATCCTATCGTCGAACGCAACGTATTTTCCAAAGATCATCCCGTCACTCAAAACTGTCTGTTTAACCATATATGAGAGTTTCACGATTATAATTGAAACCTAAAATAGACATTTTCCCATTCTTCTTGCCGCGAAAGATCGTGCCGGCAAAGTCGAACCGAGAAATTACCCCTATCATGAGAGCACGAGCACCGTACTTTAAATACAACCGGGCAATCCGTTTTCTCATGGACAACGAAAAAGAAAGGGAAAAAACGAGGGCACCTCTTCGGCAGTGCTCTTTGGCCGCAGGCGCGCTGCTACTGCCGAGGTCTCTACCTCGTAGAGCTAATGCACAGAGGGATCCCGTTCGACGGGGTTGACCCAGTTAAGAGTGGAGTCAGGGCCTGAGAGTGCGCGGTACAGACGCGTCCACGTCGCGGTACGTACTGAGGCGCTACCGCGTATGTACGCTCTCTCTTTCTCTCTTCCTCTGGCTAAAGCTGCGCGCAGTAAGGCCGCAAGGGTTCGTTTCCCCTTTCGCGGTTCTCGCATTCTGCCGCCACCACCATCACCACCTCCACTAACCTCGTTACCACCGCGACGACGATCACACAAGCAGGAGCTCCAGA